CCTCCAGCAGCACCAGCAGCAGAACCACCGTCAGGACAGACAGCAGCAGACTCAGCACCAACGCCCTCAGCAGCCCCAGCTCCAGTAGGACCCGCAGGCGTAGCACCTCCGGGACCGGCGGCACCAGTACCCTCGACGGTCGAAGAAGCTCCAGCTCCAGCAGTACGCCTCTAGCGGCGAGCAAACCACTCGCGCAGCTCATGTAGAGAGAGGGGCTCCCGTCGAGACGCAGCACCAGGAGAAACCCCAGGCTCAGCGGCTCCAGACGTAGCACCCCCAGGCTCAGCAGCCCCAGACTCAGCACCCCCAGGCTCAGCAGCTCCAGCTCCAGTAGGACCCGCAGGCCCAGCAGCTCCGGGACCGGCAGCACCAGCACCCTCAGCAGTCGAAGGAGCTCCAGCTCCAGCAGCACGCCTCCAGCGGCGAGCAAACCACTCGCGCAGCTCCTGTGGAGAGAGCGGCTCCCGCCGAGACGGAGCAACCGGAGAACCCCCAGGTCCAGCAGTCGCAGGCTCCGCACCTCCAGGCTCAGCACCCCCAGGCTCAGCAGCTCCTGACGTAGCACCTCCCGGCTCAGCACCCCCAGCAGCAGCACCCCCAAGCTCAGCACCCCCCGGCCTCGCACCCCCAGGCTCAGCACCCCCAGCAGCAGCACCCCCAAGCTCAGCACCCGCAGGCGTAGCACCCCCAGACTCTGCACCCGCAGCAGGACCAGACTCAGCAACAACCTCGACTGGCTCGACTGTGTCTACCTGGGACACACCTGAAGGGGCAGGAACCTGAGGGGGGAGGGGGTCTACTGGGGGGGGAACTGGCACCAGGAAGTCCGGTGGGGGGGGGAGGGAAGGAGTACGGTAGGGGAAGAGGCGGTAGAACGAGACTGACTCGTCGAACGTGACGTCCTGCGAGGACAGAACACGACGAGAGGAGGGGTGGTAGAACTGCCACCCTGGAGCGTCTGGGGGGAAGCCAAGGAAGACACAGGGAGCAGCACGGGGGGATAGCTTGTCCGCAGACAAGTCGCGGACAAACGCCCGAGATCCCCAGACACGGAATGCAGATGCATCGCCGACCTTCCCCGTCCACAGTAACACTGGGGACATATCGGGCCGAGAGACCCTGGGGTGAAGGTTGAGCTGATGCGCCGCGTACCGAACCGCAAACGGCCACAGAAAAAGGGGGGCAGCCGCATGCGTCATGGACGTACGAGCAACATCCATGACCATGCCAATGCGGCGCTCAGCAATCCCATTTTGCTGTGGAGAGTCCGGAAGCGTAAAGGTCTGGCGGATCCCCTGTGCACGACAGTAGTCTCGCAGAAGGCGAGAGGAGAACTCCCCACCTCGGTCAGAGTGCAGACGCAGAACAGGAAAGTCCGAGCCGAAGCTCCTCCTGAGCTGGAGACGAGCCTCGCGGATCCAGTCAATCAGCACCTCGGTGACAGCACCCTTGCTGCGCAAGGGGAAGACTGTGGTGTAACGCGAGTAGTCGTCAACCACCAACAGGAAGTAGCGCTCGTGACCCTGCCCACGGACGGGGGCCGGGCCCCACACGTCCATGTGAAGTGTCTGCAGAGGAGCCTCTGTCGGGGGAAACTGGGAGGAGTGAGGAGCAGCCCTGAGGCGCCCCTCGACACAGGGGACACAGGAAGGTCCTGGTCCCGAAGGAAGGGGAGGGAGAGACTGGGGAAGACCAGAGACAAGGACACGGGAAGCCATGCCCCGAAGACGGGGGCAAGCAGGGGTGGCCAAGACGGTGGTGCCACAGGAGAGTCTCGTGAGACAAGAGGCGACACGAGCAGGGGGCAGACTCAGGACCAGACCTGGACCCAGCAGCAAACACCTGACCTGACGCTGCTACCTGACCGGACGCAGGGACAGGAGGAGACTCAGTGGTCAGGGTGTAGAGGCTCGACCCCGGCCGACGCGAGAACGTGGCCAGGTGCCGGCCTGTGCGTGCGTCCGTGCAGTGGGTCACCCGCTGACTCGCAGGAGTGAACTGGTGAACCCCCGCATCCTGCAGGTCTGCACCACTCACCAAGTTCGTCGAGAACGAGGGGAGGTACAGGCCAGACAGGGTGCCCGAGGGGGCAGCCGGACACGGGAGGACAGTGGAAAAGTGAGCGAGGACAGGACCCCCAGAGGGGTCAGCCAGGGAGACTGCAACAGGCCGACTAAGCGGCGTGAGTGTGGTGCGGTCCCGAAAGAAGGAGCGAGAAGCCCCAGAGTCAAGTGTAAAGGTGAGGGAGGCCGAAGCCAACGTGGTGCCTGAGAGCGCAGCCTCACCCGCACCTGAGGAAGCAGACTCACTAGCACCTAGAGCAGCAGCCGCACCTGTACCTGGCGCACGAGACTCACTAGCACCCAGAGCAGCAGCAGCCTCACCAGTAGCTAGAGCAGCAGGTCCTATACCCGGGTCAGGCGGTACGCACAGGTGACCGGCACGGTCAGCACTAGTAGGCAATGCATACATGGCAGTGAGAATAGCATCATAGTCAAGAGCAAATATATCTACCCTCTGCCTAAGCAACTCCACCCAGTCGGGGAGCTCAGCCTCGTCGCCAAACTCGGTACGCCAGGCGTCGCTCAGACGGGCGAAGCAGCGGGACTGTGTATGACTTGGTGTCCCACAAGGCTGACCAGTCCGAGCACCAGTGAGAATCACGTAAGAGCAGCGAACAGAACTGAGAGACCCTCCACTCTGAGCGTACCACTCACGAAGCTGCTGAGGCGTGAGAGACGCGCGGGGGGGTCGCGGGAGCTGCATCTGGCCGCCACCAGTAGTAGAAGCAGCAGGAGTGGTAGCACTAGTAGCGCCACCACCCCTACAGCCCCAACCAGCGTACCACTCACGCAACTGCTGGGGCGTGAGGGACTCACGCAGACGTCGATGGGGCCGCATCTGGCTCCACCAGTAGAGGCAGGAGCAGGAGTAGCAGCAGTAAGGCAGGCAGCCAGGCAAGCCAAAAAGGGAGGCAGGCAGGCAAGCAGGCGACGCGCAGCGTGCTAGCAGGGCAGGGGCTCACCAGTGGTGGGTAGAGTAGGCTCGGCAACTCAGAGGCTCGGCAGCACGGCGGCTCTGCGGCTCGGGCGACTCGGGCGGCTCGGCGGTAGGGCGGCTCGGCAGCAACTGCAGCTCGGCAGCTCGGCGACCCGGCGGCGCGGCTGTAGGGCGGCTCGGCTGCTGGGAGGCTCGGGTGAAGAGCGGCTCGGCTGCAGGGCGGCTCGGCTGCTGGGAGGCTCGGGTGTAAAGCGGCTCGGCGGCGAGGCGGCTCGGCTGCAGGGCGGCTCGAGACGAAGGAGGAGGAGAAGTAGGGGAGACCACACACCTGCCACACGGCTGCTCCGCAGCAATGCAGCTCGGCGGCTTGGCGACCCGGCGGCTCGGGCGGCTGAGGTGGCGCTGCGGCTCGGGCGGCTCGGGCGGCTCGGGTGGCTCGGGCGGCTGAGGTGGCGCTGCGGCTCGGGCGGCTCGGGCGGCTCGGGCGGCTCGGGTGGCTCGGGAGGCTCGGGCGGCTCGGGCGGCTCGGGCGGCTCGGGTGACTCGGCACTAGCTCGGCGGCGCCGGCGGCTCGGTGGTGACGGCGGGGCCGCCTGGGGACGGCGGCGGGGCCGGGTGGAGCGGCGACGGGGCCAGCAGAGGCGGCGCCGGGGCCGGCAGAGGTGGAGCAGGGTCGCAGGGGCGCAGGGGCAGGCGACGGGGCCAGCAGAGGCGGGGCCGGGTCGGTGCAGGGCTGCGGGGCCGCAAGGGAGGTGGCGGGGCCGCGGTGGAGAATGGCGGCAGGGGCCGCGACGAAGGGCGGCAGGGGTCGCGACGAAGGGCGGCAGGGGCCGCGACGAAGGGCGGCAGGGGCCGCAACGAAGGGCGGGGCCGCGACGAGAGTGGCGGGGCCGCGACTAGAGATGGCGGGGCCGCGACGAGAGGTGGCGGGGCCGCGACGAGGGGCAGGGCCGCGACGTAGGGCGGGGCCGCGACGTAGGGCGGGGCCGCGACGTAGCGCGGGGCCGCGACGTAGGGCGGGGCCGCGACAAGGGGCGGGGCCGCGACAAAAGAGGCGGGGTCGCGCGCCTCGGGGCGCGCGCCAGAAAGAAAATCGCCGCGCCGCACGCCGCGGGGCGTGCGACAGATCGAGTAGCAGCGGAAGCAGTAGTAGGGCCTAAGGAACAGTTCCCACGAGGGAACCTGCTCGATACCATGTGAGAATTGAAACGAGAATGAATCAACTATGAAATGAGTGAGTACAAGTACTAACCCTAATTGGGTTGTACCCCCTATGGGATACCCCACTATGGCCTACACAAATGTATAAGCTATATAGCATTCTGACAACCCTCTCCAGGATCAATCGGGCATCCACAGTGCAGATCTACTGACACCCCCCCACACTGGGAGGCCCAGGACTAAGCACAGCGGCAACGGCCTACATGTGCATACACCGGGAATCGAACCCGAGACGGCTCTGATACCATGTCAGAATCCCAACCACTAGACCATTGGGATAAAAGGGCTTGTTTCAGTAGCGGATCAGTGCGCCCATAACCCCCCAGGCGAACGCGCCTGTATCCCTCTCCAGGATCAATCGGGCATCCACAGTGCAGATCTACTGACAATACTGCCATAATGTCTGTACACTATGCGCTAAGTGTATCTGAAACATATCCAATCTATTGCTCGACGCGACGCGAACATTGGCCAATGGGATCAATTCCAACAGAGTTGGAAGTCAAATGAACGAAATTGCCAAACGAATTTTTTCAAGCCAACGGCCAATCGCGTAAGTTTCCGAACCATAAAAATGTTTCTCGACGATTGGTTCCGACACTTCTGGGGGAGTTGAGCGCGCGGTCTGCTCGAAAGGCATCCTGACCAGCGTCCTGAGACATACCTTCCGAAGCCTTCCCCCAAAGCAACCCCAAGGGTTACCTCCAGGTAGGAATCTGCAACCATGTTTTTTTCGAATGTTTGTGGTTTCTTGCAGCCGCGAGAAGAGGTCCGAAAGCATGTTTGAGCGATTACGGAATCGTAGTTATTGCTCCGAACAACAATCTCTACTTGCCAAACGGACGCCTTTTTTGGCTGCGCAGTCTCTTGTGACTCTCACTGACGACTCGGGCTGGTGACGACAACTTGAATCGTAAAGTACTACAGTGGCAGAGCGCGAGAGTTACTCTGGGCTCATTTCCTCATTCTCGCCCCCTTTCCCCCTCCTCCCTTCCCCCTTCCCCCTTCCTTCCTCTTTCGCCGTCGTCTGTTCTCCTTACCTCCCTCACCTCCATTCCATCTCACTCGCATTCCCCCCTCCATCTCATCCTCCCAATTCTGCAAAAAAAAAAAACGCCCCCCTGCTCACTCCCCCCGACAAATCGCCCTATTACTTTTCGCCCACCCCCTCATACCAATTCGCACATCGCTCTTTCCATTCATGTTATTCCTCCCTTCCACCGCTCAATGTTTTTTTTCCCCTTTAAATCCTATCTCCTCAGTGCCAGGTAACCTGTACCCAGTTTGCGCCTCCTTGTGTCCTGTCCTCTCCACCCTGTGTCCTGTTCTCCCCTCCCTGCGTCCTGTTCTCTCCTCCCTGTGTCCTGTTCTCCCCTCCCTGTGTCCTGTTATCTCCTCCCTGTGGTCTGTTCTCCCCTCCCTGCGTCGTGTTCTCTCCTCCCTGCGTCCTGTTCTTTCCTCCCTGTGTCCTGTTCTCTCCTCCCTGTGTCCTGTTCTCTCCTCCCTGTGTCCTGTTATCTCCTTCCTGTGGTATGTTCTCTCCTCCCTGTGTCCTGTTATCTCCTCCCTGTGTCCTGTTCTCCCCTCCCTTCGTCCTGTTCTCTCCTCCCTGTGTCCTGTTCTCTCATCCCTTTGGTATGTTCTCCCCTCCCTTTGTCCTGTTCTCTCCTCCCTGTGTCCTGTTCTCTTCTCCCTGTGGTATGTTATCTCCTCCCTGTGTCCTGTTCTCTCCTCCCTGTGCCCTGTTCTCCCCTCCCTGCGTCCTGTTCTTTCCTCCCTGCGTCCTGTTCTCTCCTCCCTGTGTCCTGTTCTCTCCTCCCTGTGTCCTGTTATCTCCTCCCTGTGGTCTGTTCTCCCCTCCCTGCGTCGTGTTCTCTCCTCCCTGCGTCCTGTTCTTTCCTCCCTGTGTCCTGTTCTCTCCTCCCTGTGTCCTGTTCTCTCCTCCCTGTGTCCTGTTATCTCCTTCCTGTGGTATGTTCTCTCCTCCCTGTGTCCTGTTATCTCCTCCCTGTGTCCTGTTCTCCCCTCCCTGCGTCCTGTTCTCTCCTCCCTGCGTCCTGTTCTCTCCTCCCCGTGTCCTGTTCTCACCTCCCTGTGTCCTGTCCTCTCCTCCCTGTGCCCTGTCCGCTCCTCCCTCCGCCTCACTCTCGTAACCCCCTTGTTCACCTCTCTCCCCCAGGCCCGCTCACTCTCTTACCCCCTGTTCCCGCCCCTCATTCCCCCCTGCTCACTCTCTTTCCCCCTTCGCTCAACCCCTTTTCCCCCCACTCGCTCGCTGTTCCCCTGTGCAGTTGCCAGTGCTCACACACCCTGAATTGCAATTTCAAAGGTATACATACCCACAGCCCGAAGCTCCCTCTTGTGTGGGTACTGCAATCACCTGCACTCGAACTTCTGCTTCGGTTTTGCAGACAAACATTCAGTAACCTGAGGTTCTGGTCTGGAGCCTCAGTGTTGTAATTCAGGTCGTGGGCTTCCACTCCACAAGACTATTTCACCATGCATTTGTTACTCCAACATAAAGAGCGTATCCTAGATGGATGTGATGGGTCTGGCCGTTGCATGCAGCTTATGATCATTGCAGTCAAATAACACAACAATTATTATTAATCATAATGTACACTACCAATATGCTGTTACAGATTCTCAAGCAAGGACTCCCTCCAATACCATGGGAAAGTCTATCTAGTCTGGCAATGGCACAGGCAGTCTGGCCAACTTGGGCAGAGCAGCAAGCAGAGCAGTGTCCTAATGATCTTGATCAGAAGCCGCACAATCTCACATATCTTGGGCTCTGGAGTGACTTCTATGATATCCTCCCTTTCTTTCTCCAACACAGGCTGAATATGAACGTTTATTGCTCGCACCAGCTGCTGCACTCCTTGTGCCGGAACTCTGTCGATTTTTCTCACGCAGTCACGCAGAACCTGAGGGGCACATGAAGCAAACAAGTCATAAATAGGTTTCCTCAATATAACACACGTTGCTAACCCCTCTCCCCCCCTCCCCCTCCCCACCCCCAACCCCGCCTCCTTCAGCAGCCATGCCACTCCTTAATGCAGCTGAAAAAAAAAAAGACCACTTGAGCATAACTGCAAAGAATGGCAACACAGCATGGAACGGAATCGCCAACTGTTTTGGTGGAGATGGGGGCAGGAAAGTTGGAGAGGTGCTATTATCACTTGCCTGAAGGGAAATATCTTGAGCTTCTATGATTTGTTGACTCAGCCTCCCTCTGTGCTCCTGTGTATTCCTCAGCTGCTGCCGCAGCCCGTTGCGCTGCTGTGTCACCTGCAAAGATTGTTTAAAAGAAAAGAAAAAGACCAGAGTCTCAAGCTCCAGGACAATAGATGAGATCACGAGTTGGCTCTTTGTACAGAATAACAACTACCATATGAACATGCAACAAACTGTGCATGCTCCCAGCTCCCAAACATGCATGCCTACAAAATCATACACAAATTTTCCCACCCTACCTCATCTAGCTCTTTCCTCAAATCTTGCACCATCTTCTCCAGCGGCCCAGCTTCTTCAACCTTCTTCTCCAGACACACATTCTCCTGCTGAAGTCTGGCCACCACAAAGTGTGACCCCCGTACTCCCTGCTCAAACACAAAATGTTACCCTTGCTTCCAGGTGTCTTACTTCCCTTGTTCTCGCTGCCAGATTCTCAATGTCCTCCCTTCGCCTTTGCATCCAGTATCTCATACCTTCTCAAACCCTACTCTCCAGTTTCATATACTCTCTAACCCTATTCTCCAGGTTTCCATACTCTCTAACACTTCTCTCTGGTTTATCATGCTCACTAGCCCTACTCTCCAGTTTCTCGTATTCTCTAAATCTACTATTTACACTCTCGTTCTCCCTGACCCTACTTTCCAGTTGCTCAACATCTTGAACTTACTCCCCAATTTCTCTGTTTCTCTCTCGTACTCTTTCACCCTACCGTCATACATTCTCTCTAACCCTGCTCTGTAGCTTCTCATACGTTCAGATTCCACTCACGTACTCTTCCAGCCTAACCTCATACTCGCTTACCCTACTCACCAGGTGTGCATGCTCTCTCAGTCTAGCTTCCATGAGCTCAAACCACCTCATCCGTGTGACCAAATCAGAATTTTCTGCATGCATGGCATTCAAGTTTTTGCGCAAATTCAGAACTTGAATCTGCTGACCCCGCAGCTTGTGCAGCGCTTCTTCCAGCAGGTGAGTTAACTCTGTTGAGAAGAGAAGCATGGACGGATAGAAATAAAAAGGGTGAATAATTTGGTAATGAAGTGCTCACTCAAAGCAACAATGGTTAAAAAACATCACTGAAGAGGCAAAATAGCTTGTATGCTCGCAGCACTGTAAATTTGATGTTTTGCAGCACTGCTTCTGAGACACTTTGCCTGAACAATGAGGTAGAAAAGAAAGTACTTAGATCGAACAACACTCGGGCTCCAGGTTGATGAGCAACCGCTTTCACCCCACTCACTTAACTTTCTCTTCGTCCGTCCACTGACCATTATCTGGCTGATTCCTGATCCGCAGACAGTGCTTCACTTTCCCCTCGAAAGCATTCAACTCGTAATTGCTCCATGCCATGGCTGCTTCAAGCTGCACGCACAACGAGGAGCGGGGGAGAAAATGAGCACATAGGCAAGTCTGATGCTGAATCTGATTGCATAGTTGTCGTGTTTCACTGGCAGCTTCTAATTGTCGCTTGACATAGGATTACATGTTCCAGCCAATCGCGGAAAGAATGTACAACCAATCGTACATACAGCATCCCCTTCAGTGCCTCTAGATAAAACATCACTCAGTACCTCCTTCAGTTGATTTGCCGTGCGTGATCTGCTTGAGTAGTGGCCGTGCAGAATGTAAAAACTATCAACCCTGAACTATCAGAGTATTTAAAACCCAGGGTCCACAGGTTTCAAAGGTAGGAAGGATGGTTGGACTTAGTGACAAAACCAAAGGTAGGAAGCTTGGTTGGACTTTGTGACCCAACCAAAGGTAGGAAGGATGAGGCAACCTCGGGATACTTGAGACTCCGGTTTTAACGCGATGCTGATATACAATGAGCCTCGAGAACCGAAGAGGATACTTCATCAGGAAGTGGGTCGATGGGGTGATTGATCAGTCCATTACCAAGGAACCTCGTAGTAAATCTGGTTACAAGGTACGGCGAAAGAAGTTCAGGGAAGGCGATAAGGTGGTTGCATGGTCAACGGAACCGGCGAGCTGAAAAAACCATTACACGAGTCCCACAAAGGACTCGCGACGTACGGTACATCGATCGTAACCGGAGGGACGACGAGCGACTGAGGGACGGCGTTGATGGAACAAACGGAGGAGATAAAACCGCAGAAGGGAGCAGAAAACTATGCGCTGAGACAAACGACACGTGGCTTGCTGTTTCAACAAACGCAGTGTGACCAGAATCTAGGAGCCAAAGGCGGGCCCAAGGCTGCTGGAGGCGACGCATGCAAGGATCCATTGTGAGTGCGCCTGCTCGAGCTTTTTTGGTGATCGAAGTTCAAACCTGGCTGCTTGGCGCGCTGGCGTGAGCTTTTGGATCGAGAAAAAGGCCAACCAGCCTGCATGCAATGTCTTCTTCCGATACTAACAGCTGCGGTAGAGTGCTACGGTGTAGAATGAAAGATGCAAACAAAAAACAAGTAAAATAAAAACAGTGTGTGAAATGAGAAAGGGAACTTAGATATCAAGCAGGGGTAGCTAAAAGCAAAAGCGCCGATGCCGGGGATCGAACCCGGATCTTCTGCGTGACAGGCGGAGATACTGACCATTATACTACATCGACCTGTCCAAAATCCTGTACAGTTTTATATATCAGGCATTGACACTCCCTCCCGCCGATGCCGGTGTTCGATATTGCACGATCAATCGCCAAAATCTTTCCTTGTGTCCATGTCCTCAAGTTATATTTGGTCCTGCATGCAAGAATTTGCGACAAAACTATTTGTTTCATGCAGCAGCCTCACAAGCTCCCCTAGCTTGGGCTTCAATCCGTTTCCACCAAATCCTCGTCTTTTAGCTCCACCATAGACTGAATGTGATGGCTAGGAGCTGTGGTATTCCCTCCGCTGACACGCTGTTGAGTCCTCTCACAGATTCATGCATAACTTGAGGGGTAAAGTGTCAGAATGTTATGCTATAGCCTTTAGTGGGTGCTCTATAGCGAGTACAACCCTTCTATGGTTTGCTATTTGTATCCTCATTCCTGCTAGTGAAAATCCTCTTCTTTGCCTAAACTATCTCTTGCCTAGCTAGGACTCTCCTAGCTAAGGCTCATAATCCTACCGCTTACTTCCACATAAAGGATAATGTGGAAGGAGCAGTAAGAAGCCATTCTGCAATGGCAGGAAACTCTCGGGAGGAGAAGGATAAATTAAGGGGAAAGGACCAGGCCCCTAGATTCGTTTTGAGGTAGTCTGAGGCCTCACAGTACACCCCTCCTGGAACTCTGTCTGTCAGAGGTGCCTCAAAATTTTAGTGTGAAAATTCAGACAAACACGATTTTTTTTGTCTGAACCGTCAAAGTTACTTCAAATTTTAAGATGTTCATGCAGTTTCGTAAAAGCAGTTATAATAGCATTGAGGCTGATTACAGCCTACCATACCAACGCATCAGGCAACGTGCTCGTGCTCGTGCATCGCCTCTGCTCATATCGGCGGCGTTCCAGTGTTTTTGTCACGTGCAGCGCATGGTTGTTTCTGCTCTGCTGATCTCATTTCGTTTTGTCGTGTGTGTGATTACCGTTCTGTACCCATTTTCTTGCATGTGTGCCGATTTTGTCCGTTTTAGATTTGCTTTTCAAGCGATTCGATCGTTCACCCGATCTGTATCAAATAGGCCAAGTGCCACGCAGCTGAGCTGGCAGCAGGCAGAAACTGTTGCTTGGCGTGGCATGTGAGGATCAGACAATGCCACACGAAACTTTCAGTACGAATCAGGAACTTCGCAATTTACACCAGTGCGTGCTGCAGATGTTTTTACAGCGAATCAGCATCAAAGTCGCCTATTCTTTACAATACATTAGCGATAACTTACATGTGACGAGATTTTGTCTTTAGAAATCTCGTAATCACGCAACCATTTCCTCAGCGAAACTGGAAGATATTCTCGACAAACGAATGTATTTGGATGTCCCAGCTGTCGAAGTGAGCATTGCTCATGTCCTGGCACTCCACTGCCATCTCAGAAGTGGGCATATCTGAAGGAAACTTCCAGGAAACTTTGCTCCAATAAGCGCGCAGAGTGTACCCCTGATACAAGTCTGAAGCTTAGCCTACCCTAGTACCGTCATCACCCGGGTATAAGACAGTGTTGAATAGTAGACAGGGGTTGTCTATTATACGGGTGTCTCTTATAAACGGGGTAGCCTCATTATAAGACACCTATTTGTGTGTAGGGGCAAATGGCAAATGTATAACGAGCAAGTATCTTCTAAACGGATTTTTGTCCATTTATAAGACATATTTTTTTTATGTATGAGATAAGACATACATGTCTTATATCCGGGCGATGATGGTAAAATTAGGCTGAAATCTCAGACAACTCATAAGAAAAAACTATGGAAAATCAGACAAGGTACATAAATAATTTCTTTGAGTTCAGACTACGGTAGGTACAAAAAAAAAGTCTGGACGGACTCTGATTCAGACTCCAAAGTCTGATGTCTAGGGCACTGGAAAGGACCCAGGAACAGCACGGTGAGGGTGTTCAGTCACTTGCCTTCAATAAGATATCTCGAGCATTTAACAGTTCTCCTTGCAACCTCTATGCTTCTGAATGATCCTTAGCTGTTGATACAACTCATCCCGCTCCTCAGCGGATAGGGAAGAAACCGAGGAGCGTGCGGGAAGGGAATATTGCGGAAGCGGGACCACTGTGAGGATTGAGAGGATAATCTTATGCCCGTGATGCACTCATTTGCTTAGGCTGGCTCGCTCAGCGAACAAGTAGGGCTTACTCAGGTGCTCTAGCGGATCTGAACGAGAGCGAGTTCGCAGGAGTGACACATGCTCCGTTTGACGGCAGATGGATGCGGCGCCTCCCATAATTTCGAAGCAACGAAACAACGTGATGCTTGATTATGCGGTACGAAATAGCCACAATAATAGACATGGTAGAGGGCCCTTTGAAAGCACAAAGGCAAAGTAGAGCGCAATGCAACATGATATTTCAATTGATATGGTACACAAGATTTTTTCGACTAAATACTCATGTACTACCTTGCAGCCGGATTGAAAATGTGCGAATTTCTGCAGGCCCCAACTCCACAACCAGAGAAGCAGGATCAACGAACGATTCTCGAGCCGACCTATTTTCATCACCTGCTCCCTCAACTCCCTCCTCGCCCTCCACTCGCCAGGAAAGAGGCTGTCGCATGTCTGCTTGTTTCTGATTGGCCATCAGACTCAGTTCTGTCACCTCATGTATCTGCTAGGGGTGGGTGGGAATGTGACAGTAAGGGAAGTAACATGGGGGGGATGAGATGGGTGTGATCTTGGTAAGGGATGGAAAGCAATTACACGCTCTGAGGCTGGATAGTAGGGTTGAAATTTGAAGCTAGCATTCTAGGGGTTTCTGAGATTGACTGCTGTATGATTCCTGGTCAGCTCACTCACAAAATATTATGTATGCACGCAGCTATGGTTGAATCACTAAGCGGTGTGTGAAGAGGTGTGTGCGAGAGAGGGTTTGAGAGCAAGTCAGAACGCAGGTAGGGTGACCAGTTACATGTCACAAAGAGGCGACTATTAAGGGTTTTAAACCAAGAGCGTGTTAGAGCTGTTGAAAAGGTAGGGCGACCAGACTATCTACCTGTTGAAAAGGTAGGGCAACCAGACTATCTACCTGTTTTGCTGCAAACAATCTTCGGAGGTCCACTTGAGCTGGACGCGACCAGGCAGCATGCTCCCCGGGCTGCAGTTGCAGATGGGGCAGGGAGGGGGAGGCCGATGAGACAGGGAAGCAGATGAGACAGGGAAGCAGATGAGACAGGGAAGCAGACACACATAAGGCAGTGAAGGAGGTGGGCTTTGGGTCTCCTGAAACCAGGAGGCCTTGCCGAGTTCGAGGGAGGTATTATTGAGAATGAAATCTTGGCGGAAAGGAGGAATACAAGGGCAGTACAATGGTGAGGGAGGTATGAGGGCGTGTGTAGAGTGTAAGTGGGGAGTGGAGTGCAAGTGGTGCAGTGCAATGCAGAGGAGAGGACGGTGAGATTTTGAGAGGATTGGAAGCGGTGCAGTACGGCAGGGCAGGATGGATGGAAGGCCGACTGGGGGGGGATTTGAGTGAGTAAAGGGCACTAGTGAGGCAGGGGTGTGAGAGAGGGAGGAGCGCGAGTGCGGACGAGGAGTGTGTGAGGGAAGAGGTGTGAGTGAGGAGAGAATGAGTGAGAGGGAGTGAGTGTGGGACTCACTTGATACAGGTGAGCTAGTCTCAAGACAACCGTGCTTGGTGAGAGCTCCTGCACATGTGACAGTGGCACAAGCGCGTTTGAGATAAACGGAACAACTAGTAGCATTGCAGCACAGCACAGCACGGCATGGCACAGCACAGCATTCTGATGGAGCATACAACACAGCGTTCTCAAAGCTCCTCCACGTATGCTGGTGGTGAGAACATGGGGGTGCTGATGGATGAAGGATCAACTATAAGTGGTGTGGGAGGTTGAAGAAGGGAGGGCAGAGGAGTGATGGAGTGGAGTGGACGATTATTTGCTGAAGTGCCTAGATTATCGTTAGCGAAAGGTAGGTGAAGCGATAATAAATAGTGGAAGATTAATGTGTGCAGCACGAATGTTGACGCGTCTCAACAGTGTTAAGTACGGATGATACACAGTGATGTCAAGGCGCCTCTTACAACACAACACAGTGCTTGCCTGCATGCACGATGATTGTTACCTGCATCGTGATGACAGCAACATTGGGAGGAACCGAGTAGGATGAAGCACTGTTAGGCTTGCTGGATGACGTGGAGGATGCTGACGTGGAGGATGCTGATGTGGATGATGGCTGGGAGAGGGAGTAGTGCCACGTGTAGCTGCCTTGTGCTGCCCTGATGGACTGCTGAGTCTGCAGGAGTCAGAGAAGAGAGAGGGCGGGGTTGGGATGGATGGAGAGAGGTTCGAGTGGATGGAAGGTTGACGGTGGAGCAAGATGGTTTGCAAGGGAAGCAGAGGAGCGCGAGAGGGAGCACATGGGAAGGGCAAGAATCATCAAGGAGAGGCAGAGGGTTGGCGGGAAGGAGGTCACTGAGTGAGAGATGGCGAGGGCTCACTTCAACGGCAAAGGCGAGCCGGAGAGGGGCTATGATGAGCCGCTGCGTGCATGTGCCGGGTGCATGTGCTGCGTGCATGTGCTGTGACATGCAATTGAAAACTTGCGAAGAGAAAGAGAGGGAGGAGCATGGAAAGGGCTCACTTCAACCGCAAACGAGAGCTGCAGAGGGGTTAGGAGGCGCTGTGCGTGCTGCCTCCTCCACTCGCTTCCCTGCCCCAACCCCACACGCTCTTCCCCTTGCTCCCCTTCGTGCTCCCCTGCTCTTTCTTCAGAGCCTGTGTTAAGATGCAGCCCAAAGCGCAGCAAGCCCACAACCTGCCGGGCATGGGAGAGACAGTTGTTGGAGGGTGGGGGGAAATTGGTAGGGCTTAGCCCAAACGAGGTAAGACAAGCTGAAGTGGGGCGATGAGCGGCCCCCTTGCTCCCCTTCGTTCGTGCTCCCCTGCTCTTTCGTCAGAGCCTGTTTCAAGATGCAGCCCAAAGCACAGAGAGCCCACAACCTGCCGGGCAGGAGACAGATGGTTGTTGCTGGGAGGGTGGAGGAGAGTCAGTTGTTCGAGGGTACGAGAGATTGAAAGGGGATAGTCTGCACCAGGTAGGACAAGCTGAAATGGGCTGTGTGGGCAGCCCAAAGCGCAGGGAGCCCACAGCCTGCAGGACGGAGGAGAGAGAGAGATGGTTGTTGCATGTGTTTGCATCTTCCATTGTACCACCCCTTAATCAATGCAAGGACCATTCGAGATGGTTGTTGGAGGATGGGGGCGTTCTGAAGGGCTAACAGTGACGGCCAGCTGAAGTGGGGCTATGCGCGGCTGTGTGCAGCGAGCCCACAACGTGCACGGCAGAGGAGGGAGCGATGGTTGCTGGAGGGTTCAAGAGGTGGAGAGTGCTCGCTTTAAACGTTCTCGGTGGTGCCCAGTGTGCAGTTTGATTGATTCTAAGCGCCAAGATTCTGGTAACTGCAGGGCAGGGGAGAGACGGTTGGTCGTACATGGTATTGGGCGGAGAAAGAGGGTGAAGTGGGCGAGGAGGAGGGGGGGATGTTGAGGAGTGGGTATCAGGCAGAAGCATTGGGAGATGGAGGGGAGGGAGGGGTGGAGGTTTGGAGGAAGGGTTGTGACTTGAATGGAAGGAAGGAAATATGGCAGGGGTGGGGCCACAGACGTACATGAGTAATGGGCCCTTGAAAGATTACAGAGAAATAACTGAAAGAAGCACTCACGGTGAGGGAGCGGGTCCTGTTGCCCGGTGTGAAGCTCTTTCGTAGTGGTTCCCCCACCCCCTTGAGTCGACTCACAGGAGGTGACTTGTGAATTTGAGTCGACTCAGAAGTCACCGAAACACACGAGGCACTCACGGTGAGGGAGCGTGTCCTGTTTCCCAGTGCGATTCTTTTCTGCGCGGCTCCCCCACCGTCCAGCTGTGGCCGCAAGAGGACGGCTGTACGTGAAAACGTGAAATGAGGTTGTTACGTGGAGCACTCACGGTGAGGGAGCGGGTCCTGTTGCCCAGTGCGATTCTCTCCTGCAGCGGTTCCCCCACGCCCTTGCCATCCAGCGAACTCAGCTTCCTGGTGGCATGTGAGTGGGGGAGGGGATGGGAGAGATGGGGGAAGATGGGTCACAAGGGTGTGACGAGTCACAAGGGTGTGACAGACGTGCTTTGCTCTCCTGCAGCAGTTCCCCCACGCCCTTGCCATCCAGCGAACTCAGCTTCCTGGTGGCATGTGAGCGGGGGAGGGGATGGGGGTGTTGGTGGGGCACTGGGATCGTTCCCGGTTGAGTGTGGGAGGGCTACAGGTGCGGCCTGGGGGGTTATGGGTGTGCTACCCACCCTACAAACATGCCCTTTTAGCCCAGTCGGTAGCAGGCTGGGCGGGGGAAGATGTGGGGAGAGGCAGGGAGATGAGGAAAGATGGATGTCAAGGTTGGTAAGACAGTGATGGAAGAGTGTGTGATATTTATATATATATATATATATATATATATATGCATTTTGTTTTTGCAGCACATCAAACCAGGATTGGTGTAGCAGCTGTAACCAACACGCAACTTTCCATGAATACATGCATGCACCCCCTGTGCTACAGTACCATCACTGTGCTACAGTACCATCACTGTGCCACAGTACCATCATTCTGCTCAAACTACTGGTGGGAGCACAATACAGGGTTTACCCTAGGTGGGGTTGAGTGTCTGACCTTGGCCCAATCGTTTGGCCCCCAAAGGTTGGATTGGGAGATTACTGGAGACGCAATAATCTTGGCACACCCTTACAAAAAATATCGGCCCCCGCCATAATTTCCCAATCAACCTATTGGTGGGGGCCAATAATGTTGGCCAAAGTATCCTTTCCCCGCCCCTCCCCTCCTCCCCCCCTCCTCCCCCCCTCCTCCCCGTTTTTCTCACCTGTGTATTTCTGTGATTCTCTAATAGAATAATCACTCTTCCATCATTCTTTTCTTTCTAACAGGCTTACCTACGCTACAGTACCCTTACTCGTGCTACAGCACCCTCACTCGTGCTACAGTACCCTCACTCGTGCTACAGCACCCTCACTCGTGCTACAGTACCCTCACTCGTGCTACAGCACCCTCACTTGTGCTACAGTACCCTCACTCGTGCTACAGCACCCTCACTCGTGCTACAGTACCCTCACTCGTGCTACAGCACCCTCACTCGTGCTACAGTACCCTCACTCGTGCTACAGTACCCTCACTCGTGCTACAGTACCCTCACTCGTGCTACAGCACTCTCACTCGTGCTACAGTACCCTCACTCGTGCTACAGTACCCTCACTCGTGCTACAGTACCCTCACTCGTGCTACAGCACCCTCACTCGTGCTACAGTACCCTCACTCGTGCTACAGTACCCTCACTCGTGCTACAGTACCCTCACTCGTGCTACAGTACCCTCACTCGTGCTACAGTACCCTCACTCGTGCTACAGTACCCTCTCCTGTGCTACAGAGATGCTACAGTGACCTCACCTGTGTAGCATGACCTCTATCTGGCCGGATGCCAGGCTGGCAGCGCCTGCCGCCCGGTCCACAAGCACGGACAACTGGGCTTCTTTGTCCTTTATGAAAGCCCCGACCGTAAGCTGGAGTGGAGTGGAGAGCAAGGGATGATGGAAGAAGGCAAATCAACAGAAGGATGGGTGCACGACGGCTCGGAGGGGAAACAAAAAGAGAAGACTCTTGTTCCTATTGACTTGCCAATGCGATTGCGTCATTCATAGACAGGACCACTCCCAGGTGCACTGATTCTTGCCTTGAGTTGACTCTGGTTGACTCTGCTGCCTCTAGTTGACTGTGATTGACTGTCCTGACTCTGTTGACTTGCGTTGACTCACCGGGTAGTAGTTCCCTGCGATGGGGTCGGTGACATTGAGGTCCCAGTCAGACCGGTAGTCCACCACCTGAACATGCGATGGTGGGGTGGTGTGGTGGGGGTGTTGGGTGGTGAATGGAGACAGCATGGTGAAGGGAGAGGGTATGAATGGGGTCGGTGACATTGAGGTCCCAGTCAGACCGGTAGTCCACCACCTGAACATGCGATGGTGGGGTGGTGTGGTGGGGGTGTTGGGTGGTGAATGGAGACAGCATGGTGAAGGGAGAGGGTATGAATGGGGTCGGTGACATTGAGGTCCCAGTCAGACCGGTAGTCCACCACCTGAATGCGTGCGGGGTGGTGGGGATGATGGGATGAATTTGAAATCGACTCAAAAGTCAGAGCAGTAGTCTACCACCTGAACGCGGGGTGGTGGTGGTGGTGGTGGTGGTGGTGGTGGTGGTGGTGGTGGTGGTGGTGGTGGTGGTGGTGGTGGTGGTGGTGGTGGTGGTGGTGGTGGTGGTGGTGGTGGTGGTGGTGGTGGTGGTGGTGGTGGTGGTGGTGGTGGGGATGGTGGGGATGGTGGGGATGGTGTGGATGGTGAGGATGGTGAGGATGGTGGGATGGTGGGGATGGTGGGGATGGTGGGGAAGGTGGGATGGTGGGGATGGTGGGGATGGTGGGGATGGTGGGGATGGTGGGGATGGTGGGATGGTGGGGATGGTGGGGATGGTGGGGATGGTGGGGATGGTGAGGATGGTGGGGATGGTGGAATGGTGTGTGGGATGCTGGGCTGATGTAGGTGGTATGTTGGGCACGTCCATAGGAGCATTTGCCACCTGGTGACTTTTGAGTCGACTCAAAAGTCACCTTATAGGCGGTATATTGGGCACGTCCATAGGAGCATTTGCCACTTGGCAATGGCATTTGTCTTGCTGCTGTGGATGGGAGCCGTGAAGGCAACACCCTCTACCCCGCTTGATGTGACTCCGCCACTTGAATCAGGGTGACCAGTGCTGCTGCTGTTGTCACGAGGAGGGAAGCGATCAACCACCCACCCCACTGTGTGAAAAGAGCTCCTCTTGTCATCAGTAGCCTGTCAGGATCCCAAATCTACAGCCTCTCTCACCCACTTGATATAGCTTTGAGACATCTCAAAACATTACTTCATACACGTGGCGATCAACCACCCACCCCACTGCGTGAAAAGAGCTCCTCCTGTCAACGGTAGCCTGTCAGAAACCCAGATCTGCAACCTCTCTCACCCGCTTGTTGCAGCTCAGGCTATGGAAAGTCACTTTTGATTATCCACGAAAGTCATCCGCATGATGTAGCTCTGGCTGTTGGATTCAGAATAGCGGGTTGTGCTGCTGTCAATGGGAGCAGTGAAGCGTGTCGAGTTGCCAGGCAGCAGCAAGCAATGACCGTGTAGTGTACACTCATGCGAGCGCAACAAACACCCTCTCACCCGCTTGAGGTAGCTGCGGCCATTGGAGTCGGAGTAGAAGGCCTTGCTGCTGTTGATGGGCGCATTGAAGAGAGCTTCCAGGCGCCAACACAGACTGTGTGTGTACACAACAAACAACAAACAACGTCTCACCCGCTTGAGGTAGCTGCGGCCATTGGAGTCGGAGTAGAAGGCCTTGCTGCTGTTGATGGGCGCATTGAAGAGAGCTTCCAGGCGCCAACACGGACTGTGTGAGTACACAACAAACAACAAACAACGTCTCACCCGCTTGAGGTAGCTGCGGCCATTGGAGTCGGAGTAGAAGGCCTTGCTGCTGTTGATGGGCGACACGAAGCGAGTCACCACCTCGTGGTTGGGTTGCTTGGCGGGCAGCGGACCCACCTGGTCATCACACACACACGCACGCACGCACGCACACAGCAATGAACAGCACAGGCTGATGTGAACGAGCAGCGCATTCCTTTTCCATCGCGTGGAAATGGCTTCACAAGCAGTGGTGAGGCGAAACACCACCACCTCTGGTCTGGTTGCCACCCCAGGGGGGCAGGGATCCATCTGGCCCAAGCAACGTCTTGTCAGACCATAGCCGGTTGGCCCAGGCAATGTCTTGTGAGACGACTGAAATGAAGAGTCGGTTCATGCGGATTCTGGAAACCAGGGTGTGCAAGAATCAGAGAGCACTCACGGAATAGTGCAGCTCAGCGTAGTCCCCCCCTGGATACACTCTGAAGACCTGGGAGTTGGGAGCGGTGCAGAGCGGCAGAGACGCAAGCAGCGGGAGGATGCAATGAGGCAGTGGAAGCACGTTGCAGTGGGTAGGGCGAGGTAACAAAAAGGGAATCCATTTATGCACCACTGCAGGAAGTTGCGGGTTTATGTTTCTGAAAAGTGCCCTGCATACTCAAGGAGGTGGAGGAGAAGGAGGTGAAGGAAGTGCACTCACCTCAGAGATCCATGGAGTGATCTGGCGGCTGAACTCCTCCACGATTGGTCCACGCTGGATGTGAATGGGCACCTGTGCCACGTCAGCAGAGCAGAACAAAAATCTCATGGAAATCAAAGGCCTGGTGCTGTAAAGCGGCTTCACTCCACCCACCCACCCACCCACCCACCCACCCACCCACCCATGCACGCACGCACCCATGAGAGCACCCACCTACCCCAGCCATCAAGAGCCATTCTACACTGAAGGCACAGTCAGCACCGGTGCAGCAGGAGAAGCATCACAAGCATGTCGCACTATGGTGCATCACGTACATGCCCATGCGCTGCGGTGCACACACCACCTCCTCTGACCTTTTCATTCTCAAGACACTGCCACTGGCACCACCACTGCCCTGCGAGAGGCATGCTGCGTCATGGTGGTGGTTCTGAGTCGTGACCCACCCTCCCGCCCACTGACCTGGTGAGTGCTATTCGTGGTGGTGGTGACGGGCGTGGCTGGCTTGGTGGTGACGGGCGTGGCTGGCTTGGTGGGCTGGAAGATGTCGCTCTTGAGAATTCTCAAAAGCGACTCAGATGTATGCACCTGCTGTGACTTGAACGACTCAAGGCACTGGTTCTACCAGTGGAGACTCAAGGCACTGGTTCTATCAGTGGAGTGTGAGAGCCATGCTGCGTGCACCTTGGCGCTTGTTGTGACCCACACGTCCACTGACTGACCTGGTAGGTGGCGTTGGTGGAGGTGATGGGCATGGCTGGCTTGGAGGGTTGGAAGATGTATGCGCCGCCGGCGAATGTGGCATACTCCATCATGCTGGCACTCACTGCCATGCCCATGCGCTGCCGTGGCATGGGGTGGGGTGGAGTGGATGAGGTGGTACGATGTATGCACCTCAAGCTAAGGTGGCATACTCCATCATGAATCCCGGTCTACATCAAGGCATGGGCTGACTCACATGAACTCCAATCGGCCAGAAGCCACCAGCTTCCGTACTTTATCCCGCATTGGTTCGTGCTGGCGTTCCCACCAACGATAGAAAAAACCCTGCAGAAATACAGATAAGTGGTGCGACTTGTAATATGCTTCCACTTAGGATTTAGCAGTAGAGGTACGGAGCACTTGGTACTACCGTGCAAACGTAAGGCCACATTGAACCTATTACTAGGTCCAGACGATGCTCTCACCTGCTCGACTTGAATGAATCTACGGTCAGGATTGTCTGAAAGCTGGTCAACGACGGTCTCAATGATGTACTGTACCGGGTCGACCTGCAGTGATGTACGACGAAACAGAAACAGGGTGCGGATGAAGGTTAGCATTTGTCAGACTTTCGTCATCTCCGCTTGTCAGCGTGAACTGACTACACGGACCCACGTCATACAAACCACGCCCATGATTTCACGTCACGAACTTAATATGCGGCTCTCCGAACTTCAAAGACTGATGTTCCGCCAAACACAGAAGCCCCTTATCGAATTCCCTACGGAAGCGCAGCCCGGCTGGGAGGCCTTGAAGATCCATTTGAAATCTATTTCCAACATTTTCGGGGAACAATGCTGTAGCAGCGAGGACAGCGGACGAGTTCAAGCTGCAGTGAGGACTCCTGACAGAGAGTAACGCAGAATTCGATCCGATTCTTCAATCTCTCAATCTCTGGCATTTTTCGTAGTCCGTACTCACGTAATACTGATCAATGGTTTTCAGCCAACCGAGATCGTCGTGCGAGTGAGCCACCAAGTGTACGTTCAGCTTTCCGTCCACTAATACAGCGCTCGTGTTGTAACGAAACGGTACGATCTCCTCAAACGAGGTTAAAGATTCACTGCGAACCGGCGCGATCGGCGTATGTTCGTTCTGAACCGTTGCTGTTTCTACCCTGTCAAATGATATCGGAATGCGTGGTGACAGTGACTGCTGCAGCATCAGCAAAGTGAAGCCCGTCAAGACGCCTATAACGAACGGCGGCACGAGCACTGCGGCTCGATTCCATGAAGCCATCGCCGCCGCGTTCATCTTTAGTTCCACTGTAAGGAAAATCAGAGAAAGCTAGAAGCTATTGAAGATTCAATGGAAGGAGAACACTAACTCCGCAATGCCGTGAGTAGCTCGGTTATGAGGGTAGCCGCATCATTGCGATCTAACTGAAACATTCTTGGTAATGGTGCTCATTCCGCTACATGTCTGAAAGTTCAGCTCGGACTGGTGAGTAGTGAGCAATGGAAGTCCGAGTGAGAATACCGCTTCAGAGTGCATGGTATTGTACTGAACCGCTTTCGATGAGCAAAATGTGAATTCTTGGTCTGGTGCTCACTTGCTTCGCTGTACGGCAGCATTTGGTGGAGTGGGGGGGTGTGGATTCTGGATAAACCGTTGCATATTGTTTCCTGGTGCTCTGACGGAGTTGACGTTGAGATTGGGCCGAGGCTTAGGTACCGTATTTAACACCTCTGTAACGTAGAAATTGACCTGTAAAACGTTTTGGACCAAGGGATGTCGCGCGCTGAGTTCCTGGCTGGACGTCGGGACTGCCACCAATCAAGTCGCTCACTGCTTCGCTATTGTCGGCGCGGCGAAGGCTACATATGGCTATTTGAAGTCAGTTTCTAGGCATCTCATAAATCAGGACGCGGTACAGTTCGGTCTATCAGGGCTGACACGTGTTTTTGTAAAGACATAAGGGTAACAAGTGGTTCAAATTTTCAAACCTTCAACTCTTCCCAGCCGAAGATCGCAATGTCAGAACCGCTGACGTCAGTAACCATACAGGTGTCACGTTGAAAACCAGCAGATCCTGACCAGGGCAAATTTTATTAGTGTAAATCACCCTGATACCCTGATTATCAGGGTGGTTTTTGGTAGTCACATTGATGGCCTAGGGTAAATTTTTTCGGGAGCTAGAATTTTCCTGATATGCCAGGGTTTACAAGGCACACTGATGACTCAGGGTTATCTATTTCATAATGGGTTTCCCCTAAAGCGAGTACCCCCCCCCCCCCCCAACTTCCTCTAACCCCCTCCCCCCCAATTCGTGTCAGAACATTATAGCTTATGCATATTGTGTAGGCTATAGTGGGGTAGCCCATAAGGGGTACAACCCAATTAGGGTTAGCACTTGTACCCAACTCTTTCATCGTTGATTCATTCTCGTTCATTCTCACATGGTATCAGAGCACATATGCTCCTGGCCTGTGGGCCCCACTACTGCTTCCGCTGCAACTCGATCTCTCGCACGCCCCGTGACGTGCGACCTATTTTTGGCGCGCGGCGATTTTCTCTCTGGCGCGCGCCCCGAGGCGCGCGGCCCCGTTCCATCTCGTCGCGCCGCCCTAGCGGCCGCGTCGCGCCGCCCTCGCGGCCCCGATCCGCCGCCCTAGCGGCCCCGTCACCTACCCCTGCAGCCCCGCCGCCGCCCATCCCGGCCCCGGCTTTGCCCTTCCTGGCCCCGGCGCCACCTCGGCTGGCCCCGTCGCCTACCCCGGCGACCCCGACGCTGCCCTTCCCGACCTGGCCCCGCCTCTGCTGGCCCCGTCGCCTACCCCTGCGGCCCCGGCGCTGCCCTTCCTGGCCCCGGTGCCACCTCTGCTGGCCCCGACGCCGCCCTTACCGGCCCCGGCGCCGCCTCTACTAGCCCCGTCGCCTACCTCTGCGGCCCCAACGCCACCCTTCCCGGCCCCGGCGCCGCCTCTGCTGGCCCCGTCACCTACCCTGCGGCCCCGGCGCCACCTCTGCTGGCCCCGTCGCCGCTCCACCCGGCCCCGCCGCAGTCCCCAAGCGGCCCCGCCGTCACCACCGAGCCGCCGGCGCCGCCGAACTGCTACCGAGCCGCCCGAGCCACCCGAGCCGCAGCGCCACCTAAGCCGCTCGAGCCGCCGGGTCGCCGAGCCGCCGAGCTGCAGTTGCTGCCGAGCCGCCCGAGCCGCAGAGTCGCCGAGCCGCAGTTGCCGCCGAGCAGCCCGAGTCGCCCGAACCGCCGAGCCGCAGTTGCTGCCGAGCTGCCGTGCCGCCGAGCCGCCCGAGCCGCCCGAGCCGCCCGCACCGCCGAGTCGCCGAGTCGCCGAGCCTGCTCTTCCCACCACTGGTGAGCCCCTGCCCTGCTAGCGCGCTGCCCGCCGCCTGCTTGCCTGCCTGCCTGCCTTTCGGCCTACCTGGCTGCCTGCCTTACTGCTGCTGCTCCTGCTCCTGCTTCTACTGGCGGAGCCAGATGCAGCCCCAGCGACGTCCACGTGAGTCCCTCACGCCCCAGCAGCTGCGTGAGTGGTACGCTGGTTGGGGTTGTAGGGGTGGCGGCACTGCTACTACTACCACTACTGCTGCTACCACTACCACTACTGCTGCTACCACTACTGACGGCGGCCAGATGCAGCTCCACCGACGCCCACGCGCGTCTCTTACGCCCCAGCAGCTTCGTGAGTGGTACGCTCAGAGTGGAGGGTCTCTCTGTTCTGTTCTCTGCTCTTACGTGATTCGCACTGGCGCTCGGACTGGTCAGCCTTGTGGGACACCTAGTCACACGCAGTCCCGCTGCTTCGCCCGTCTAAGCGACGCCTGGCGTACCGAGTTTGGCAACGAGGCTGAGCTCCTCGACTGGGTGGAGTTGCTTAGGCAGAGGGTAGATATATTTGTTCTTGACTATGATGCTATTCTCACTGCCATGTATGCATTGCCTACTAGTGCTGACCGTGCCGGTCACCTGTGCGTACCGCCTGACCCAGGTATTGCTCTAGCTGCTGGTGAGGCTGCAGCTCTAGGTGCTAGTGAGTCTGCTTCCTCAGGTGCGGGTGAGTCTGCTCTCTTAGGTACTGCGTCGGCTCCGGCCTCTCACACCTTCACTCTTGACTCGGGGGCTTCCCGCTCTTTCTTTCGAGACCGCACCACACTCACGCCGCTTGGTCGGCCGGTTGCGGTCTCCCTGGCGGACCCCTCTGGGGGTTCCTGTCCTTGCTCACTTCTCCACTGTCCTCCCGTGTCCGGCGACCCCCTCTCGCACCCTATCTGGTCTTTACCTCCCCTCGTTCTCTACGAACTTGGTGAGTGGTGCTGACCTACAGGATGCGGGGGTTCACCAATTCACTCCTGCGAGTCAGCGGGTGACCCACTGCACGGACGCTCGAACAGGCCGAAACCTAGCCACGTTTACACGTCGGCCGGGGTCGAGCCTGTACACGCTGACCACTGCGTCTCCTCCAGTCACTGCGTCTGGTCAAGTAGCTGCGTCGGGTCAGGTGTTTGATGCAGCGTCCACGTCTGGTCCTGAGTCTGCCCCCTGCTCGTGTCGTCTCCTGTCTCACGAGACTCTCCTCTGGCACCACCGCCTTGGTCACCCCTCCCTGCTTTGTCTCCGAAGCATGGCCTCCTGTGTCCTTGTCTCAGGTCTTCCCCGGTCCCTCCCTCTCCTTCCTCCGGGGCCTGGCCCTACCTGCGTTCCCTGTGTCGAGGGGCGGCAGCGGGCTACCCCTCACTCCTCTCAGTTTCCTCCGACAGAGGCCCCGCTGCAGACGCTTCACATGGACGAATGGGGCCCGTGGACAGGGTCACGAGCGCTACTTCCTGCTGGTGGTTGACGACTACTCGCGTTACACCACAGTCTTCCCCTTGCGCAGCAAGGTTGATGTCACTCAGGTGTTTATCGACTGGATCCGCGCAGCTCGTCTCCAGCTCAGGCAGAGCTTTGGCTCGGACTTTCCTGTTCTGCGCCTGCACTCTGACAGGGGAGGAGAGTTCTCCTCTGGCCTCCTGCGAGCCTACTGTCGTGCACGAGGCATCCGCCAGACCTTCACGCTTCCGGACTCTCCACAGCAAAATGGGATTGCTGAGCGCCGCATTGGCATGGTCATGGACGTCGCCCGTACGT